AGTAGATTTAAAATAATATGAAATACTGAAAATGTTTTATGAGAGAAAACTGGTGAGATATTTAAATTTTAATCTCTTTTCTTTACGTAGATGAACGTTTAATCAAAGATGAATTGAAAAGGACTTGAGTATTTCACTGAGTGAATAATAATATTGAGAACAGGGATGGCCACCAATCTTCCGATTTTTCAATATCAAAAGGATTTTCGATTTACATTGATCAAGGTTTAAATATACTAATTAAAATTAAAAAATGCTATAATAATTGATAATCTAAATTTCCAGTTGATGGTGAATTAAATATTTAATAATATGGATCTGTAAATTTTTTTTATTTTCAAGTAAATAATCCTAAATTTCTTATAAGAAATTTCCGATTATCCAAATAATCATCGGGATAAATAAATCATACGGGATTTGAATATTTAAATTGATGATGACTTCAGTAATTAAAATTTAAGAGTGATACTAACAAATTGACTACTGAATAATTTAACGGTATTCATAATTCAGTAGCGAAATGGTCAAACGGTTTAAGTCGATTTTGACTATTGATCTGTTTTCAATGAATATCTCGAAATCTAAGGGAGATAGCAAAATATTTCTCATAACCTTTTTAGTAGCACTCAGTTCACTCTACAAAAAAGGTTATTATGAAAATTTCGCTATCTCCCTTAAATTCGGAAATATTTCTGGGAAACTCAACTAAAGACTGAATTGACTTGAACCGTTTGACCACTTCGCTACTGAATTTACGGATATGACTATCCCTGATTGAGAAAATGTCCAGTAACTTCGCACAACCTCTGGGAACTTCATTTCGCCATTAAATCAGACCTGAACCCCTCAAATTTCACAATGTGTTGTAACATCCACTCATCAATCTCCAGAATTGATTCATAAACTCGATTTGATTGCTGAACCAATGGCGAAATTATCTATTCAGCCATGAACCAATATCTTCAGTTTCAAAAATCTGATTTGATCCACTGCCTTGTCAGCTCTCCTCTTTCATTTCTCCATCCTCTCATCGTATTTTTCAAAAAGACGACCATTGAAACCACATGCGCAACCAAAGAATGAGCAAGAATCTCCACTGAAAACAGGAAAATAGTATATGCCAAGGGGAAGTGCAAGTACATGGGGAGAATGAGTGCCTGGGGGGCGGGGGGGGGGG